TTGAATTTATTTTGTTGTTTTTTAAAGAAAAGAATAAACTGAACTGAACTGAACTATATTAGGACAAAATCTGCATTAAATATTCAGTTAAGTGACATATGGCAAACATAAAAGCATTACATGCATCTTAACTGTATGAATATAGTGGTTGTCAAATAACACTTTTGCTTCACAATCCACATATTTAACTGAGTTTAAAGAGCAATTATATATGATAAATATCATATATAGGTTGTATTTAAGTTTTGTCATAAATCTAGTTACTAGTTTTTATCCAGACCCACACAAAATCTAAAGTCATCTTGAACATTTGACAAGAATATTTTTCACGCAGCCTACAGTACGTTGTTCCTTTTGGCAGTTTTTCAGCTACAAACTGAATCGAGCATAAAAAGATTTTTTCATGCTGAATGCACTTCCTGATGCAACCTAGGCTTCAACCTGATGACAACACTGTGGCACTGACCATCAAACTGCTGCAGCCCCCCTTGCAACTTATCAAATGTAGACACTATAATTGTACATATCTCTTATGTATAATTATTTCAATAGTCTGCATGTTGTGCATGTAAACAAAACAGTCTTTAACATGCTGTTCTGTATGTTTCAAAGGAAGTGCCGAACAAAAAAACAATTTAATCCCTATTGAAGACCTGATTACTGACCTGATTCCACCACAAAGAAACTTTACTGTCACTTAGATTCATGCGCAGTGTTTCAAAATGGGATTTGACAAAAAAAGAGAAAGAACCACAAACAAAAGCATCACTGCAACGACAAGAACTAGAAATGCTCATTAATGAACGCACCGTTTTCAACCCATTTAATTAGGCTGCTACTCTGTTATCCACAAAAAGGATAAAAGTGCCTGTTATTTAATAAATGATGTTATAGTCTAACCTGAAGGCATATTCATATTATAAATGCAATAGAAGTCATTACATGAACTTCAAAAGGCAGAAAAAAAGAAAGAAGAGATGAAAAGGCTCTGAAGCCTGCAGTGAGTCACAAGCTGAGGTGAGGTCCATCTATCTCTAACCCCTTGTCAACGCTTCACGTTCCCGAGCCTTGAATGGCAACGACCGTGCTGAATCACAGCACAAGGAGGCTGGGGCTGCATGTGGAAAACACAGCTCACCGAAGGTGGTAAAGACTTTTATTATAAAAACTAATTTACAGGTTCCAACAGAGCCAGGGGGTGCAGAGTTCTGCCAAGCAGCCCCACCTCTCTGGCACATTTCTCCACAGTGCAATAAGAGACTGTAAGGATCCGTCTCTGCTGAGCTCACAAATAAACTTATTTTTTTGGCTCATATAGCCTTTTGTCAAGACTCAAGGTTGGGATACAGATTGCATGTGTGTGTATGTGACTAAAAAGAAAAAAATGTATAGGCTTATGCTCTCTCTCTCTCTGCAAACAAAACAAAATTTATACTTGTTTTCACTCACATAACAGATATACAGGCTCACACACTGAATCCTGAGAAGCATGTATGTTTTTGCTCACATATTGTGCGTGTGTGTGTGTGTGTGTGCTTCCATTATTAAAAGGAAAGTCATCCCTCTGCACACATGGGACAAACACAATGGCTGTAATAAGTCTGCCCTGTGCTGTCGCATGCTCTCTTAATGGTCGGCTTCGAAATGAGCTTCAGCCACAATCCCCCAAGCTGGTCCTCATCCAGTCTCTAATCGCCACCGACCCGCTCTCACCTTGAACTTCTTCCCAACTCCCACTCCTTCAGGGAATGAATGCAGGTTTCCCCAACAGGCTATGGTTCATGTAGCGACAACATAGTGGGTTTAAAATGAAAACGAGTTGATTTATTTTTGTTTGAAATTGGAACAGGTCTTCTAAAAGAAAACTTGTTCCACAGAAATGCACAAGTTTTTGCTGGGACATTTTAATGGTGGAAATGATCCTCAAGTCTGCAGTTTAATTCAAAATTATCGATTTTAATGAGGAGAAAACTTAATACTGTCTTGTGTACTCTGTTGGTTCTATGGACATCAATTCTGCACCTTTGAGTCTGATCCCCTGTCCAGTCTGACATTAGATTTACCAGTTGTTGGTAATTGGGTGAGCAGAACGCATTCTCTGGACACCAGCTTCTATGTGTACCGTGAGAATATTTGCAGGAGTGTTTGGGGTCTTACCATGGCTCCTGGAAGACCTCTGGTCCCTTGGAAACCTCTAAGACCAGGAGGTCCAACTTTGCCACCATGACCCTGTGGACCTGGATCACCCTAAATAGACAACAGAATGTTAAAAGCTTCCGTCTGGTAATCATTAAGACTTGAGATGAATTATTGACATGAGATTGAACGCTGAAGACAAAATAACTCATCGATTGAAAACGATGTAAAGTATTTTTAACAAGCTTGAAATCTCATCGTGTAAAACAACCTTAATCATTTTCATATTAATGGATATTTCACACTAGAAAAGTCCAAATAACACATTTTGTACTGAAATATGGATCTACAAATAGATGAACAGAATACAAAAAAAGGTATAATTACTCACTTTTCCACCCTCTTTTCCTGCAGCCCCCGGTAAACCTTGCTCTCCAGGTGGACCAGGGGACCCTGGGTGTCCTCGCTCCCCGCTTGGTCCTGTCTCTCCAGTTGGTCCCTTTCCAAAGCAACATCAATAAAAACGTTATGCTCACAGTAAGACACCTACTTGTGACTAGAATACAAAAAATTGTGTGTAACTGTGCCTCCAACACGATTGTGTCTAAAAATATACACGCACATTTTTGAACTATTTCTCTCATTTTTACTACAAGATCTGCATACATTGACTTATTTATTTAACAATAAGCTATTGTTGCACTCTTTCCCCAAAGAACAACTTAAAAATGTGTGTATGCATACATTTATGTGTGTATGCATATACACTGCATGTAGAAATACAGTTACGTTTATGAATTTCTGGTATTATATAAAATTCTAGGTAAACAGATTATTGTTTTAATCTTCATGACATTGTAACTTAGAATAACGAAAAAGAAGAATTTACTATTACTTTTTTAATAAGCTTTGGAAAAGGGTGGGATTAAATAAGTTTTTGACTCCTTCCCATTCCTTTTCAAATATGTTAATTTTGTTAATTTTGTTATCACTTTTTATCATTTTTTGTTTTGTTTGAAATAAACTAAACCAATAATAATAATAAACAGACAATGTTTGGTTTACGCGGCATGTACCTGAGGTCCCACCACTCCTCCAGGTCCAGGGGGGCCAGTCTTTCCTTGGAAGCCCTGAAAAGTAAAACAGATGTTTTAAAACATGTTAAAGTTGGTTCATATAGAAAACCAGAGGGCAGTAAGTTGCATAATGATGCAATACATGTCTGACCAGGTGTCTTAGTTGGTTATAAGTAAATTTAAACATACTTGGCATAACTATAATAGTACACTCTTAATGATAGTAAATTGTTATTAATTTAAAATATTTTGGTAGTAGTAAAAAATTTCAAATTTATGATGATGCTGCTGCCTTTATTGTCATTGTAAAATACTGTGTTCAGAAATACCAAGACCAAATCATGTTTATTTCTCCATTAGAGAAATAAAATGAAAATAAAATCCAATCCCATCTATGAGTTTTTTAGGTTTTCACTGATCAAAGCCTAAGATGGAAGAATCACATTTACTGCATCATGTTTGCAACAACGTTTCAAATCTACTGACTTTATGAGCAAACGTTGGAGTTTAGCTCATCAGAGGTGTTCAGAATCTTGTGCAAAAAAGAAGAAACCAAACAAATTGGGTGAAAAAGAGATGACACATCTGTATGCAGGGACTACACACTCACAGTTTCTCCTCTCTGTCCGGGGTGACCAGGCAGCCCGTCTTTCCCTGGCGGACCCTGGGAGTGAACAAGTGAACAGAGATCATCGTGTCAGGAGTGCATCAATAATTAACAAGCCTGGAGAAGTGCCACCTAACTGTGGATATCAGCTCACAGTTTGACAAGAGCTACTTACATTTGGTCCTTTGGGTCCAGGGAAACCGACAGGACCCTGCGGTCCTTGAGGTCCCTAGAATAAAAAAGAAAAAGAAATGTGAAGAGGAAAAACTGGCACATGGATTTTGTAGGTATTTAGCCAACATTGTTCAGCTTCCTTACATTGAATTAAAACAGTAATATTATCATTTAGAAAGAGAGGTTTGTTGGCACAAATTAGTAACCCAGAAACCAATAAATTAGTCAAAGAGATCAGCAGCTGGTTCTGATTTCGAGTTTAGTTTTAACACAATTACCCTGATGTGCTTTTGCTGTTGATCCAAGTCTGAAAAAGAAAACAGATGAAACAAAATCCAAAACTAACCCGCTCTCCAGGTGGGCCAGGAGGTCCATCACTGCCTGAGGTGCCCTGTGGAGGAAGAAGTGGCACAGAGAAAAGTGAACTTTTCACTCCTCTGAGCCAGTGAATAAACTCTGTGCAACACTGATAGTTATGTGCGTATCTATACAACTAATGGGCAACAGACAGAAAAATGCAGCTGCAGTTAAATGTTCAGTTCAGAAGACTGAAGAATAAGTTTGCAGATTCTCTTTTAAAAGGTTCGATTCAAAGATCTGAACTGGAACCCAGCTCACAGCAAGGCGGGCCTGGGAGTTTGAGGCCTTGGGTCTTATCAGAACAACAACAAGCCCTCTCAGCAGCCCAGTGTCTGTCCCAGGCTGCTCTAAAAGGATTAATGTCTAACGATGAACCAGCCTCTTAAAGTCACATGTACATAAACCTTACATCCTGGTCACACCTCGGGGGGCAGTACCTTTTATGTCAGAGACTGGAATACAGTGGTGGGCACAGTTCAACTAAAGCACTGACTAAAGCCCTAATTGGGGAACTAATTTCCTGATTAGTGCTTTAGGTATTTTGCAAATTTTAAAATTTATTAATGGATTAGCACTTTCTAAATTTAGAAGTACTAACTGAGGTCTATAAATGTTATCTTTCCTGTCCCCCAACCCAGCCGGTCGAGGCAGATGGCCGCCTGTCCTGAGCCTGGTTCTGCTGGAGGTTTCTTCCTGATTAGCAGGGAGTTTTTCCTCTCCACCGTTTGCTCAGGATGGGAGACTGTGATGAAGTGATTCAACACAATCTGCTGGTTTCTTTTTTAGATTGTTCTTTTTCATGTACAGTGCCCTGAGACAACATATGTTGTGACTTGGCGCTATATAAATAAACTGAATTAAATCAAATTGAATTATTGATCAATGTTAATGTTAACAGCTGAGGGTGAAAGCTGTCACACACTTTGTTCATATGTATGTCACTTATCCACTTGGTGACAATATATTGACAATATATGAACTCAAATATGGCTATGAGATGTCAATGATAAATCTTAAGAGAGCAACATGGCAGCATGTGACTCATGCTGTCTGTTGAAGAATGTTCATGGATTGACTGGGTTATTTTAGTGGTTTAGAATTAGCTTTTGCTGAATTTTCAGCGTTAGTGCTTTAGAGTTAAGAGACCCAAATATTTCAGTTAGTGTTTTAGGGTTAGTGGAACTAATTTTTAGATTAGTGCTGCCCACCACTGCTGGAATATAAAACAAGCTTTGTTTATGTTACAGAGTGGGACACATTGAGACTTAATCTGTCTTTCTTTGTTTATTTGATCACAAAATGTAAAGTACAAGACTGGATCTTAAATTCAGTTAATAATACACACAATTTCCTTCAGTTTCATAATGTCCTGAGATTGTCAGGGTTCCTAAAACTAAATCAGTAAAATCAACTTACTTTTGCACCTGGCTTCCCTGTTGGTCCTCTAGCTCCTCGTCCCCCACGTGGACCCTATATTGGTTGCAAATACAACAGTCAATGACAGACAAATGGAATAATATGATTTAAATCCACTATATAACTCATGGGGAGGACAGAGAAGTTGCTTACAGTTGGACCACGTTGTCCTCTGGGGCCAGATTTACCAGCGATTCCCTGAAAAACAAAGATAACTTTTTGATTTAGAACAAAAGTTTTGCCTTGTATTTTAAACTAAACATAAAAATATATGTATTCTCAGAAGTTTAAGCTGAGCCAATTTTATCTTTTTTTTTCTTTAAACAAAAGGCACTTAAACATCAGACAGCAACAACTGCTTTAGGCATCAGTGTCATGGATAAAATAGAACCGTCAGAGCATCCTTGGACCACAAAAAATAAATAATCAAACGTTTGTGGTAAGTGGTTACTCATTGGCACTTGACAGCTTGAACTACCTGTCACTTGAGGCATTCTGGGGCCAGACGTGTCTGCCTCTCAGTGTCTCAGAGCACAGATGAGCTTGTCTTGTCAATAACAGCCCCAATCCTTCAACATTCCTCCCTGTCATGCTTTTATCTGTAACCCCTTTTACCACTTTCAATCACGCAGCAGAATACAGTTGTCAATCTTTCCTGAAAAGCTACATTTTCATTTCAACCGGCTGGAGAAGTCCTTTCAACAGGACAAGGTCAGAAATATACTAATAATGATGGTAATTATATAACAGCATTTTTAACAACGTTATAGTGTTTTAGGATGTGAAGCTTTTCAAATGAAGTAGAGTAAAATGCAAATTTGCTACCACTTTACAATTAGGCTCCACTTATAGATGGTTTATAAATACTTTATAGATAGGTTATTAATTTATCATTAAACACTTTATAAATCATTAATAAGTGTTTATATGCATTAATTAGGGATGAGAAAGAAACAAAACTGTCTGATTTCTTGCCAAATAGTGAGCCAAATTTGTTCACGTACATACTACATTTAAGGTGCTATTAAACATTTCAGACCAGTTTCTACCTTGTGAACATAATAATGTATTGGAAACACATATTTTAGTGCTGGCTGTCATATGTAAATGGGTATGGTTTTCAGCAAGGCTAAAGTCATTATAATTACATAGATATGCATTTTTGTTGCTGTGGTTTTGTTATCTTTGTTTTGTAGGTGTGGAGCCAGGAAGTCCGGTGTGCTGTCCTGTGTTTTCTCAACATATATTTTTCATATCTTCTAATCTCTTTTTCACTCTTTCTCATTACATTTCACTTTTTTCTTTCTTCTTCTTTTTCTTCTATTAATAAAAAAAGGAAACACATATTTTACATATAATATTGTACTGTAATATACACATCCACAATGATCAAATGGAGCCTCATTGTAAAGTGTAAGACTGTACACTATAAGGTTCCCTTTTGCCATTTATACACATTTATTAATCATTAATAATTAGTGAACCTACTGTAAATATGTTTCCAATACATTATTGTGTTTATAAGGTAGTAACCTAGTGTGAAATGTTTAATATAGCACTTTATAATATAAACATGAACAGATTTGGCTCACTATTTGGCAATAAACCAGACAGTTTTCTCTTTTTCTTGTTTTTAATTAATGCACAATAAACACTTATTAATAATTTTTAAAGTGTTTACAGAGGAATTAATAGCCTATCTACAAACTATTTATAAACCATCCATAAGGGGAGCCTTATTGCAAAGTGGTTCCACAAATTTGAACTCCTGACAGATTCTGTGAAAAAATAAAAGAAGCAGATTTTATTGAAGACAAGCTCATCTGTGCTCTGAGACACTGAGGCAGACACGTCTGGCCCCAGAAGGTTATTACAGCAGCTGACTAATACTTTTTTTTAAAAGAGATGCTCCACAATTATATTTCAGTTATTCATTAATAACATTTGCAAAATAAGTAACTGAACAAAGCTCATTATGTTGAATAACGTGCTGAAAATTCTAAATACAGTCTAATCCTAACAGTCTATGTCAAAGTTAGGATTTGGAAAGTTATGATGAAAAGTTTCAGCTGTTGGACATCACTGACAGAAATTTGCTCACCCTCGCTCCTTTTTCACCATTTGCCCCGGGGAATCCTGGGAAGCCGTTGGAGCCCTGCAATTTAAAAAGAATTACAAATCAGAAAAAAGTTGGCAAAAGAAAGAAGTACATGGAAAGTGTAGCATTTTTTTTCTACATAAACAAGTTTAAAAGGCTCCCATTGTGAAATAAGCTGCAATTAAAAAGAGCATCTTTAAACGTCGTGACAGCGAGGATCTGAAACAGGAAGACATAAAAGCAGTGGGAGGAGCAAATAGAGATCCCTAAAAAAAAGTGAATCTCCTTTGATACCTATCAGTAATTTAGTTACAGGCCCTTTACAGGCTGTGCTCCCTGATAGCAGCAATGGCGTCAGCCAAACAAATACTACCAAGCCAATCACTGCTGGCCGGATAACAAGAGTAACGAGCGGCTCATGAATACAACCTCTCTCTATGCAGAATTAGGCAGCATAAATAGGCTCAACCCAAGTCAAATATCCACAAATCAAGGTCATGTGCTCATGTGCTTGGAGTTTAAAACATCCTCAGATGCAGTGCACATTCAGAGTGCTCATTAC